CTATCAGTAGTGTTGAGCTTTACATTAAGCTCAATAGGGGTATCAGAAATCTTAGTGTTAGTAAGACCGACACGGTGAATAACCTCATTGGTATACTTGGCCTGAGAGAGAAAGTAGCCCTTGGGAGAAGAAACTACCTTAATACCAAAAAAATACCGCAATGGGCCTAGATCCTTCATTTTAAAGGTGCGGAAAAGATGCTGCTTGACCTTAGATATAACAGAAGAGTCGGAACCAGTGATAATCATATCATCCACATACAGTAATAACGTAACAAATCCAACAGAGGTATGGAGAAGAAATAAAGCAGAGTCCTGAGCACAAGGATGAAACCCAAGCTCAGTAACAGCAGTCTGAAAGCGATTATACCAAGCACGAGGAGACTGCTTCAAACCATATAGAACACGCCGAAGGCGACAAACCTGTCCAAAGGAATGGTGAAGGCCAAGAGGAGGACGCATGTAAACCTCCTCAGTGAAATGGCCATTAAGAAAAACATTCTTAACATCCATCTAATAAAGAGGCCAAGAACAAACAACAACGACAGAGATCAAAGTACGGGCAGTAGTCATCTTGGCAACAGGAGCAAAGGTCTCTTCATAATCAATACCATACTCCTGTGAGAAACCTTTGGCAACCAGACAAGCTTTGTAGCGCTCAAGAGAACCATCGGAATGAGTCTTGACTTTGTAAACCTATTTGCAACCAATCAGATTCTTAACACCAGGCAAATGAACTAACTCCCAAGTACTAATTTTCTGTAAAGCAGACAACTCATCCTCCATAGCTTGAACCCAATGAGGATCCTGACAGGCCTTCTTGTAAGACTGAAGTTCTGAAAAAGAGTGAATAGAAGACAAAAATGTATGATAGGAAGTAGAAAAACATGTATTAGACTAACCCAACCTGTTTAGAGGATGACGTGCTCGAGCAGGATATCAGTGTACAGCAGGATTAGAGTCGTCAAAAGTAAGAGGAACGGCAGTAGGGGCAGAGATAATCGGTGGAAGAGGAGCCTTGAGATGAGAATAAACTAACAACGGAGGATGAGAAGAAACCGAAGGAGGAGAAGCAGCCAGAGGTGAAGTAGGAGGAGAATATGGAACAAGCTCAAGAAGAACTATGGAGATGTACTCATCAGACGACACCTCAGAAGAAAACGAATCAATATGAACCAAGTCCTCTTTGGAAATCGGGGCGATGCGAGGAGGAAGCTGAAAATAAAGTAGACGTTTGAGAAAGACAACATGGCGAGAGACATAAAGGCAATGAGAAATAGATTCATAACAGCGATAACCTTTCTGAGTGAGACTATAACAAAAAAGGCACATAAGACAGACTAGGCACTAAGTTTGGTTCTATCTTTACAGGGTAAAAGGACAAAACAAGTAGACCCAAACACACGAAGGAGGGAGTAATTAGGAAGTTGAGAAAACAGAGACTCATAAGGAGACTGATTAGAAAGAAGGGGGATAGGCATACGGTTGAGAAGAAAAGCAGTAGTAAGAACTGCCTTACCCTAAAACGGAGTCGGAACGGAGGCAGAGAGAAAGAGAGACCTAGCTATCTCAAGGAGTTGACAGTGTTTACGCTCAGCTCGACCATTTTGGACAGGTGTATCAGTACAAGAAGTTTGGTGAATGATACCCAATTTGGCCAAATATTCACAGAATTCAATTTTAAAGTATTCCCCGCCAAAGTCAGATCGCAACAATTTAATAGTAGACCCAAACTGTGTAGTGACCGTAGACTCAAAAATACAGTATATCTGGTAGAAGTCAGACTTATGAGTTATAAGATAAACCCAAGTGTATTGGGTGCAGTCATTAGCAAATGACACATAATATGCAGAATCCCCTTTGGTGAGAACAGAAGAAGGGCCCCAAACATTAGTATGAACTAAAGAAAATGGTGTATCAGATATAGAAGTACTTTTATGAAAAGGTAAGACTGTCATTTTGGCAAGTTTACATCCCCGGCATTTAGTAAGTTCACTAGGAGAAACTTTACCCAATATACCAGTGAGCCAAAGACCGCAAGCAATCAGCAGACAAATGCCCTAATCTAGAATGCCATAAGTAGAAAGGATTAGACAGAGAATCTAACTGAAAAGATAAAAAGGCAATCAAAGAGGTTGCCATAGGCAGATGCAAGCTTTCCAGCACATAGAGGTCTCAAACTCTACAGCTGGTTCCAATTTGCTGCTTAGACATGCGATCCTGCACAAAATAAATAGAAGAAGAAAAGATACCACTAAAACCAGAGACATCAAGCTGATTGATTGATAATAAGCTGACAGATAACTGAGGAACATATAAGACTGATGGAATAGACACAATAGACATAGCAGACGGTAGGATAGACCTAACAGATATAACAGACCCATTAACAACATTAACAGTAATAAAAAAAAAGAGGTGGAGTACAATTATGAAGCAATGAGAGATGAAGAGTCATATGATGAGAGACACCAGAATCAAAAATCCAAATAGAAGAAGAGATACCTGAAGAAGACCTAACCAAACCTGAATGAAGAAAGGAAACAATGGAGGCAGATGAAGATGGTTGTGAGGTAGACAATATATGCTGAAGCTGGCCAATCTGAGCACTCAAGGAAACCAAGTCAGGATCAGGAGTTGGAGCAAATGCAACATAAGAAGTAGGAGGCAAAAAAGTACTTTGAGAGGGAACTCGAAACGGTAGCTGAGACTGCTGAGAAAACAGAGCAAATGAACGTCCCTTCTTGGGACAGTGATACTTCCAATGACCCTTTTGATGGCAGAAAGCACACTCATTTGAAGCCAAGGGCTCTTTCTTGGGCCTAACAAAATCCAAGAAGACATATAGAGAATTGATAGCCTGAATCTAATCATCTGTCATTGTAATGAACAAAAAATAGCGAACTGATTAGGTGAAGTGTAATAAATTAAAATCTAATGGGGTCAAACTGTAATAACTCGAAACTATCTCTAGATGAGCAAACATTGGTCAACTAAGAACAAATAACCAAAGAGAGAGAGAGAGAGAGAGAGAGAGAGAGAGAGAGCGACCTTCGTCAACATAAACGAAGCAAAGATCTTCGATCGACACAACTAGCGAGATAGAAGGGTCTCACAATTGAAACTGAAGCCGAGAGAACCTGAAGCTGGAGCCAAAGCTGAAGATGAGAGAGAACCAGATGAAGTCTAGTGAGAGGCCAAGCCAAATAAAGGTTGCGAGAGAGAAAGAGAGAGAGAGAGAGAGAGAGAGATCCCTTGTATGAGTAAATTGCTCAAACTTGTCTTTGGATTGTGATTCTGGTGGCAAATACGACTTCGATGAACATCCAATGGCAGCGAACCAGAGACTAAAGAACCAGACGAATCGTGATGTGAGAGAGAACTCACTAGGTTGATTTCGAACCAGACAAAACGAACAGAGATGGCTGCTAGGGTTTTGAATCCTTCAGATTAGGGTTTCGAACCAAGCTTTGATACCATGTAAGATTTCTGAATGAATCTCTATATTTAATTGTGTTTCAATACAATGTGTACATCTGATATATATAGCAATTCTAGATCTAATCTTAAATAGGAAACAAGAATAAACCTAAACCAAACCTAAATAGAAAAGAATAAACCTAATCCAATTCTAAATAGGAAACGATATTCACATAATATATACTATACTAATATTATTCTCACAATGCCATCCCAACACTTCCTTCTTTTTAATCCAATCCATCACTGTGGGGCCTTCAAAACTGATTAATGAGTTCAAAGGGGCTGAACTTTTGCTTTGAAGATGGTGTGAGAACAAATATTCTTCCTCCAAAATATAGTGGGGTTGAGTTAGCTGGGAAACATTGTTTGTTTTTGCTGTAAATGAGCCAAGAAGTAGGCCATTCAAGTTTGGTTTGAAAATTAATGAGCTTCAAAAATGTATTCAAACTTGGTTTGTTTATCTTTCGAGTTGATCTCAAATGATTTCATTGAGTTGATCATGAACTGAGCTGGAGTAGCTTGTTTTTTTTTTTTTTTTTATAAATAAAATTTCATTGTACATATAAGTTTATTATGCCGAGTTTGAGCAAAGCTTTAGAGTGTGTTCAACCTTAACTTATTTGCATAACGAGCCAATCTTGATTTTAAGAACTGAACACATGTTGACCTGAAGCTGGTTGGTTTGTTCTACAAATTGCATGACAGTCACAAATTGCAGCAAATGTCTGTTTTCCTTCAAGGATTTAAGGGAAAAGAGCAATGCAATTTTTCCAGAAAAAAACCTCGTTTGAAATGTTAAGACTGATTCCATTTCTCATTAAAACAATGAGAGAACAATTTACATCAGATAATGAAAATGAATTTTAAGACAAGGTTTATAAAGAACATATCCTAGCAAGAATGCACAGACCATGTTCAACTTTTTATGGTGGTTAAGTGTAATAAATTTCTTACAGACATTCGAAAGAATGTATTAATGTTCAAATTGCATCCTATCTCCTGCCTGTGGTCCTGCAGAAATATCCACTAAAGTTTCGACAAGTCAACTCAAAAAAAAAAAAAAAAAGAAAAAGAAAAAGAAAAAGAAAAAGAAAAAAATACACACATATAGAGAAGTGCTATGAATTTGAAATGTGTTGATCATATTGTAAGTCAAACCGCACCAAGTTCAAATTTTGGAATTTTTTTTTTGTTTTTTGGATACATAACATTTTTGCAGGGTTTAAGATCCACAAAAATACATAAGAATCAAGACCAATACCACATACCCAAAATTATCAATGAGTGGTCTAGATTCATTCTAGGTATAGAGCTCACAATACACTAATTGAATCTCAGCCACACTTTTTCATTCTGGATAAGTAGTTTTATTGAAGAATCAAATCAAATGAGAACCAAAAAGCATTAATTTGTAGTTATCTACTCACACTAAAGAAGAAGGCAGAGTTTTGAACCCAACTTTACCTTTTTAAACCAAATGGATACAACCAAAAAAATCAATTTCTGAAGAGTTGATTCTGGACTGTGAGTTTTTCAACCACAGGGAAGAGACTGTTCATATATAACATTTCTAATAGAGACTTTCTTTTTTTTTTTTTTGGGATAAGAAATACAGACTTATTTTCTGGAATGCCTATATGTTACTAGCAATATATCCATCATACTTGCTACTAACTACAATCCAACTATGCAAAACATACTTCACCAACATAAAATCTTTGCTGCTCAATGCAAAAGATGTTGACTGTTTGTAGAATAAAAGCCTGCCAACTAATTTAAGGCCTGGAATCTTGTCACCGGTGCAAAGGAGTCTGTTCTATGGCACCTTCGTGGGTCGGGCACTGCCTTTCCATTAGTTATGTAAGCATCTCTTGCAATTCTCACAGCTTTCTGACTCTTACAACCCAACAGAATTCCAGTAAGCCGCTTCTCTCTTTCCCCGTCTACTCCAGCTTTGGCATTTGGAACCATTTTCCGAGCCTTTTTGGTTGCTGCTGCTGATGATATTGGGTCCTCACAATCAGACACAACTGAGAAATCAGCAGCGCTGGCTGTGACAACACTCCACTCTATGCTTGCTTCACTTGGGGCATAACAAGTTGTTGGTATGACAAAACTCGATGACATGCCATCTGATGCTTGCCTGTCGAGAAACGGGTTGGAATTGTTCGTGAAGCTCTCTATCTCAAACAAATCTGAACTTGCATCGCTCTCAATATCATCGTTGTATGTTCCATCACAACTCGCTGGAATCTCAAGCTCTTCCATTCTTGCATTGGTATCCCATGTTGTCAACATGGTTAGCCTCCTTTCTAGGCTGAATGCCTTCTTTTTCTTTTGCAAGACAGGTGAGCCGAACACCTCCAATGACTTTCTCTCTTTATCATCATCTTCCTCTTCTTGCAAATGCACTTTCACCGGCTTGGAATTCAGTATTGGGAAGCTAAAGCAGTCTTCTCTGCTTAACCCTATTCCTGCATCATCAATCTTCGTACAAGGCATCTCTTCCTTGACACTGGGATTCAACCAGGACTTATTGGCTCGAGCTAAATCAACTGCTTTACCACTTCTCTTGGTATTGCTTTCAACAACATGATCATCAATATCGATTGAACTCTTGTCATTACAAGCACAATTACAACCGAGGCTTGCTAGGAGGCTCTTGCCTTGTCGCTTGCTAGCCTTATTCTTTGGTGGATTTCTTACCACACTTTGTAACAACCCGCTTTGGCTGTTCCAACTTGAATCAGAATGGGTACTTGGAGTTTCCAGTTGAATTCTTTGTTTATCAACTGGTTCATCCTTCTTCACATGCCGGTAATTGATTGCACCATTGCTTGCAATTCTTGGACTCTCCTCATCCATTCCTCCATTGAAGTACTTTTCTGCCCCAAACACACCAATTTCTCCATCTTCCACCTTTCTCCGCAAGTGAAGGTGTTCATGTGGTATTGCGGTGATGATGGAATTCAGGTTTTGACTCGATTCTGCGAGTTTGCGCATGCAGGTTTCATCAGAGCAATTGAGGTAAGAAGAAAAGGAGGCGTCACGGAACCGGTTGTCGTTATTTAAGGAGAGGGCTTGAGAGATGTTATTGTTGGTACAGGCTGATGTTAATGTAAACATGGCCATGGAGATTTCTATTGTTTGGTTTGTACCAAAAACAAAAAGGGGAAGAGAAAATGACAACAGAGAAACGATTTGGTTTGTATAGGCTCCAATGAACTCAACAAGAAGGCAAAAAACTACAAAAGGAAAATGAAAGAGACCTAACTGGGAACCAAACAGAAGAAGTGAAAGAAAGGAGAGTTTATTTAGGAATTGAGAGGATTGAGAGTAGGACAAGAGAAGCAAAAAAAGAAGCAGCTTTAGGCAATGGAGAGAGGAGGAAGAGCATGAAAGAGAGCTATGAAACTAGTGGGATTGTTGTTGAGAACCACTTCTTTAAGTAGATTTGATTCTACAGAGCTTGGATTTTGAATCAGAGAGGGCAATAATAAGGGAAAATGTAATGCTTACAGTAGTGTCCCCCACCCTCACTGTGCTCCGGCCCTTGTACAGTTAACCCCCAACCCTGACCATGACATCAACTTGGACCGTGATGGTCGTCCTATAAGGAAAGTAAGTATTTTATTGAGAGAATAAATTAGCTAGTATCATCAAAAGAATAAAATTAAACATTTAAAGGGAGAAAATTATTGAACTTCTTAAAAAAGAAGTACATACTAAAATACAAAGGGGGCAAATTGAACAACTATTTTTTAAACATATTAAAAAATAAATTTTATAACGTTGAGGAGGGGCACGTGGCCCTTCTGGGTCCATGCTCCTTCTACCCCTATTCTAACTGGCATCTCTTGAGGTTAATCGATACTAATTTGTGAGTAATTGTAGATATCATTTTTATTCCGCAGAATCGGTCAAAGGGCTCCGTTCCTCATAAACAAAATGTCATTATATAGTCTGTCAACTTGTGTTTATAAGCTTTTCAACATTTATCTGGTGACAACTTCATGGCATTGAATATGCCTAATCTTCTTATTCATTCTATCCTTTTCTGTTTTTGTGGACACCATAATAACAATAAGATTTTTCTGACCATTAGATAGTGATTTATTGGTGGACATGGCTCAAAATTAAGTGCAGCAGACTATTTCACAAATATTGACAAGATTGAGATCTACCTCATCTAGTGGCAAGAGCAATTGCACTCACCAAAGTATTTATTAAAAAAAGAAAAAAAAAAAGAAAGAAAGAAAAAAGAAGGTGATATTGGGCTTCAAAAAAGCCTCATGGGTGGAATTTCAAGACATTTTTTTTTTTGTTGTTTATCCTTCAAAAATAGTCTAATCCATGTAAAGGCATACATCTTAACAGTTTCTTCGATTGTGTTTGATAGTTTTTATTTTTTTAAATAGGAAATTACAAAATAAATAAATAAATAAATAAAGTCTAGGATTTGAGTCTTGTAACAATACAAACCTTGAAATTTTAATTTTGTCAATTGAAACCCTAATCTTATGATTTGTTTTCAATCTAAATTATCCGTCTATTTCCGTTAAGTAAAATTGACCAAAAAAAATGATATTTAATGATTAATATATATATATATATATATTTCTAGTAGTTTTACTTACGAAAATAAATAGATGGTTCAAATTAAAAGATTAGGGTTTAAATTGACAAAATTAAGAACTTGAGGTTGATTTTGTTATAAATCATAAACACTGAGGTTTATTCTATTATATTTATTTATAATTTCCCTTTTTTTTCTTTCAAAAAACAGGTTACTGTTCTTGGAGTTGCAAATAGAAAGCAAAAACAAAAATTGTGTTGTTTTGAAAAACCATTTTCAGAAAACTGAGTGAAAAAGAACCAATTTTTAGGTTTTGATTGGGTGTTTGTTTAGTTTGTTGCTGATTGGGTTGCTGCGTGGGTGTTTGTTTAGTTTGTTTTTAGTTAAGTTGCTGTTTAGTTTTTAGTTTGTTTTGGGTGTTTTGGTGGGTTATTATGTGGGGGATTCATGTTTTTTTAATTTTCTAGTTAAGTTCTTCTTAACTCTTTTATTTAAAAAAAATCGAGAGGTTTAGAGGTTGGTTGTTTGGTTGTGAGTAGTAGTAATAGGGGTATTTTTATAGTTCCGAATCTCTCTCAATGCATGTCATCTTCCTGTACCTTTAATTTCATGCTGTTAAATGAAATTTTTCTTTGCTGATAAAAAAAAAAAAGAACCAATTTTAGGAATCAACATATTGCCAGAAATTTTAAATTAAGAATACTTAAATGACCGAAAATATGGAGGTTTTTGTTCTCTTATGATCTTATGACCATTGTTGTTTATATCTCAAGTTGGTGAAGCATTATTCTAATTTTTTCTTGCAAGTTGGTAGGAGATGATGATGTTGTGATATACATTTATGGGATGGGACTTGAATTATTTAATTTAAAAAAAATTAGGGAATATTGTTGGAAAATGGAATCTGCGACACATGCCTTGCTGGGTTTTGTGACCCACAATTACTTGACTCTTTACCAATTTGTCAATTGTATTGTCATCACAACACAAGCAATAAATCAAAGAAGTTGCCAACTTTTTGTTGCCTTGTGTGTGTGGCTCAGAGGAATATCAGCCACACAAGATCCACAATCATCAATGACACATATTCACCCTTGTTTTCCAATTTAACGGACACCAACTATATATCCTTATCCATTTAACAGTTTTTTTTTTGTGTGTGTGTGTGTGTGTGTGTGTGTGTGTGTGTGTAGGAAAGACTCATCATTTAAATTTTTGTGCCAAAACTGTTGGGACAATTATAGGACAATGGAGTCTAGGCAAAAAAATTGCAATTTGATGGAGTTTTTTTTTTTTTTCAAAGTTAGAGTTCATTGATAGACAAAAACAGATACATTCAGAGTGATTATCCCCCTTCTCTAGAAGGAAATACAATCAAGGTTCAGCGTTCCAAATACGAACACTCGAACAACTAACAACTATAGCTTGCAAGATATTGCGGCCACCAACCAACAATTATAACTTGCACATACTGTGGCCAAAAGTCAATAGAGACAAACAAAACCCTCCATGGAGGAGGAGAAAATCCTTCACAAAGGAAGGAAAATACACTAAAACAAAATACAAAAAAACACATACACTACAAGAAAAGTCACTTTTGGCGACTAAATTTTTAGTCGCCAAAAGTCTGTTTTTAGTCGCCGAAAGTCGAAATTTGACTTTCCCCGACAAAATTCTTTAGTCGCCACATTTGTCGCGTATACGTTGTCGGCGTAGGCATTGGCGACTAATATTTTTTTAGTCGCCAAAAGACAGGTCTTTCGCGACAAATCATACATTTACTGACTAATAATTTAGTCGCCAATACTCAATCAATCGCCGACTAAACGGCTTAGTCGCCAAAATCAAGACTTTTGGCGACTAAAATATTAGTCGCCAAAGGTGTTCCGTCGGAAAAAAAAAAACCACTTTTTTTTGGTTTTTTTGAGTTTCAAACCGTGCCCAACCATCCCACATTGCAACTTTTTTTGCAACACACTCCCTCCACTATGCCACTACAACATCACATGAATATATTTGTAATATATATTATTTATATAATATATTGACAGTATTAATACAAAACAATATATATAAATATAATTATTTTAATTCAATATAATTTATGTAAAAATTAAATTATTTATTAAAAAAAATTTTAGGCCACTTTTGGCGACTAAATCCATTATTTAGTCGCCAATTCTATGATTTTTGGGCTACTAATTATTTTTTTGTCGGTAAAAAAACAAGTTGAAATTAAAAATAGTAGTTTTGGCGACTAAATCTGTTTTTAGTCGCCAAAAACGTGTCCTTTTGGCTACTAAACTGAATTTTAGTCGCCAATTCACTGTTTTTAGCTACTAATTTTTTTTTGTAGCCAAAAACCTTCATTTTCAGCTACTAATCTTTTTTTAGTTGGAAAAACACCTATAATCGGCGACTAAAACCATCACTTTTGGCTACCAAAAAACCTTTAGTCGCTAAAACCCCTACATTCTGCGATTAAACTGCCTTTTAGTCGCTAAAAGCCTGGTATTCGGCGACTAAACTATTTTAGTCGGCAAAAGGGTTCAATTTTGGCGACTAAATGTCAATAGAGACAAACAAAACCCTCCATGGAGGAGGAGAAAATCCTTCACAAAGGAAGGAAAATACACTAAAACAAAATACAAAAAAACACATAGAAAAAAATATTAGAAAACCAGATCCACACGCGCAGGATCGGCAAGCAATACCGACGTTGGTCTCATATCTGTAGCACATGGAGGCGGTGGAAGCCTAAATGGCGGAAAGCCTCAAATCTCAAGGCAATAGACTAGATTTGAGAAGATAAAAATCATGCCGGGAAATAGAGGAAGCCCACGTAGACCAAAAGAAAAGAGAACGGGGAGAGGGATCGGATGTCACCGCCCCTCTCACCCTTGCCATGACAATAAGAGAAAACTCTAGAGTTGGTAGAGAGAGGGACTCTAGTTCTAGAAAAAGAGAGAGACAGTTACATCTATAAAGCTAATCTTCAATTTGATGGAATCTAAACACATGAAATGATTACTTGCAAAATAGTTGCAATCAATTGGGAATATTTTGTATTGCTCAAAAAAAAAAAAAAAAAAATTGGGAATATTTTGTAAAATTAGAAATTTACCCTATTCTTTTTCTCCGCTTTCACTCTTTATTAAACCTCTCCACATTTCCGACACTTGCTCGTTACTATCTCCGACCGCTGTTAGTCCATCCTCTACCTTCCTTGGATCACCCCAACCCACCCTTTCTCCACCTTCCAACACAACTTTTCTTATCTTTCACTCCTCTACAATCGCTTCTCCATTCCTTCACTTCCCACCTTGAAGGCTTCCATTCTGCCCTACCTTCCCTATGCTCTTGATTTCCACCACGACCATGAAACCTTAGCTTCACCACCGCGTCTTTCTTATTTTTATTTCTCTTCTTCTTCATTCCTTTCATCTTCAAATTCTTTCTTTCTTCTTCTTCTTCTTTTTGGAATGTGTCTCACATCGCTTGAGAATGTGTCCCACATTACTTTGTCCCATCTGTGTTAGGTTCTAGTTTCTCTCTCCTTAATATTTAGGTTTTAAGGAGAAGTGTGAGTTGGGCTTTTCAATTTCTCTCTCTCTCTGATTCGTATTTATATAGGATGGTTTGGGGGTTGCAAGGGAGAAATGAAGTGGGAAGTCAATGCAGTAAGAGGCAAAAAGGGTAGACGTTAGAATGAGAAGAGGTGAGGTTAAGAGTGGGATGCTGAGAGGTCAGTAAAGGGTGGGGATAATGGATGTATCATCGTAGGCTGTAGGATGTGCTGGCATGGTGGAGTTTCCACAGAGAGGGAACGAAGAAGAAAGGAGAGAGAAAAGAAAGGATATATTTGTAATTTTAAAATATATTATGACTTTATTCCAATTATTTTGCAATTTCTTATTTTTGTGTAATTACTTTAGATGAATTGCAATTTTTTTTTTCTTCTAGACTTTAGTTTTTCTGCAATTGTCCTAAAATAGTTTTCAGAATTTTGATTACAATTTTTTTTGTGTTTCCTACGAAGTGGATTGTTTTAAAGAATTAAAAAAAAGAAAAAAAAAAAATTTACCAACCAAACAATGCTTTTTGAAAAATAAAAACAAAAAGACACAAAATAGGCTTAATTTGCCAGCTGTGAATAGAAACAATCCATTTAAATGTTCATCAGAAGGGTGATGACAACCCTTCACCAAATTCAATAACAAGGCCCTCTGATGTCATGGACAGATTGTAAAAAGATTGA